TAGTGTCTGTAGTAGGTCCAGAGTTTTCCTCTATATTTCTTAATAGTTAAATCAGCAGACCCGCTAAATTATGCAGTTTAGAATAGAACATTGATATAATAGGGAGAGGGTGGCTGAAAGCCAGCTTCATATGTTGATACAATAGGCAGGAGGGGGGGGGGTGCTGGAGGTGCTTCGACAAACATTCGCGCCCTATGCACACATGTGGTCGACGTAACGCCGCTATAACCGCAGATACATTTCTCCCAAGTCAAAAGCCTTTTCGCAATCTCTGTGTATGTATACATAGATATTGGGATCGCTAAGAGCGGCACTGGGTATCGAGCTCGGCTACCTCGAGGCAGTTTGAGCAAAGTAGAGATGGTTGGCGGCATATAGGTCTTTCCATCTGAAATGCCATCCACGATGATGGACTTCACTACCCGACCGCTGCAGCTGCCCACGGAATCATACGCAGACAACGTCAAGGCCTCTTCGGTGGTTGCAAGGTATGACCTTACAGGAATGCTGCTACTACTTTCTTATGACAGGGCGCGCGAGGTCCTGTCATTTGGAGACGTCTCATACGCTTCCTGTGGCACGGATCTCAGGACTATAATCCTTACAGTGGATGCACATACAAGGGATGCTGCTCAGGCTTCCTTGGACGCGCGTGTCACTGCCCTGAGTACTGCTAGCAATGGATACTCAGCAGACATGTCGTATGATTTCTGTGACACGGATCACAGGCCTAGGACTCTTACGACGGGTACACATCCAAGGGATGCTGTTCAGGCTTCCTTGGTTGTGTGTGTCGCCGCCGTGAGTAATGCTAGCACTGGATACTCCGCGGACATGAACCAGTCCTGTTGCGGTGCCTCGTTCGACAGCTCCAGGAAGCTGTGGCGGACCATTGCGCGACTCCGCGCCACGATCAACGCCTTAACAGCGTCGAGCTCTGCGCTTGTCCTTACAATCGTGCTGGAATTGTGTGTCGATAATGCCATGTTGGATGCAGCAGCCTCACAAGACCTTGAGGCCATCTTACCTGATGAGTGCAGAGAGCTCAGGTGTGCACTCATGCAGCTCCTACACCACTTGAGCTGCTTCGCATCATTGATCGCTGCATTCTCACATGCTGGCCCACCTTCGCCGTCCATCCGCAAACTGCCAGAATTCAATGGGTTCCAGAAGTACGCCGACAGCCGTGAATGCGCTAGCAGTGGACGAGGCCTGGATTGAGCCTCAGAAATGGACAGTGGTACATAGACCACCTTCGGGGACGTACAGAGACCTGGTACCGGTATGAAAGCATTCATATTGATTGCCATAAATGCTTGTTCTGCTAGCATGCCTGGATAGCCAAGTAATCATGACGCTTTGTTTTGAATTGTAGCTACAAAGGTTCAAATTCCACCTCGCCAAGAAACCTAGTTATTGCATTCCTCACTAGACAAATCTACACATATTTTTTTGGAGGAAAGCAGAAGGACGAAGAGAGCACATGCAGCTTATTAATAAGAACGAAATTGGGAAAATGCCCAGAAAATTGATTTATGTTCGAGATATACTGCCGGGCTTCTCTGAGCTTAAACAGCTGCTCCATTTAACAGTTCACCAAGATAGCTTTGGTTCAAACTACAGTTCTTTTCTTGGAAAAGAGCAAAGGTGTCGTGAGCCATTGCCTCCTTCATTACGGAGCCTTTAAAGCAGTCTGTAATAGCACTCATTACACAACTGTATGCGCACAGAACAACCCTTGGTCAACCGGGCAGTTGTCCCATGCCAACAAAGAATGTGCCCTGTCAAGTCATTTGCGACTGTTCAAAGGAGTTGATGATGGCTGGCTGCTTCATGCATGCAGTTTTCAGCAACACCCCTGGTTTACCGAGCATTTCTCATAATCTAAACAAATTCAGAGGCTAGTGTTCGCAGAAAACTAGTCGTTTCTGTTGGTGGCCCTCAACGAAAGGGCAAGGCTGTGGCAGTTGTGCATGTCACCAACAGGCACACAAGAGTGTCCTTGTTATGTGCACAGCATCCAATGCACATGTGTCAAGCATCCCAACAAAGCCAATCAAACAAAATGGGTTGCTGGGAGAACTGGTGCACTGTCTGAAAATAAAAGCAGAGCACGAACACGAGAAAGAGCACCCTTCTGTCTACTCGTCTCCCTGCAATCTTTTGGAGAAGGCCTGTCAAGATGCCACACCAAAAGGCCCACACTCAATAAGAAACACTATGGCACATACCAAGGCACCTCTATACTTCATTCTGTTCACCTGCAAACTCGTGTAAACTAATCCTTTCATCATTAAACTCTGCTATGGATGAGATTTTCCCCGCTACTGCATCTTCTATGAACGCATTTAGTGATCCATTTAATTGCTATGTTGTTGTAATGGTAAGTTAGCAACCATGTGCTTTTGACAGATATGCATTCACCATCCACTGGTCCCTCTTGTTCAAAAATCATACAGTGCCCAGCAAATGGAGAAATTACATTATTGTTAAAAAAAATAATGACACCAAGAAAAGTAAATTGTGGCGATGAACTGAAAATTATTAAAGGGGTACTAACACAAAATTTCGAGCCGAGATAGCCTGCGCGGTCGATTCTCGTGAACATTCGTATATCATCGGCAAGATATCAACAGTGAATATAGCTTGGAAGGCATTTTAAATTCATTTTTAAGTTTACGTGAGCGACCGACTCCGTAGCACTATAGACACCATCGGAGGGGACCCCGGAGGTGACCCCCTACTTCCCTCATGTCACCACGCTGGTCAACATAAGTTATGATGACGTCATAGCCGCTATTTTCCTTTTGCCGCGTTAGTTCCCGCAGTCTATATTTCTCGGCGGCTGGCTGCGAGCGCGTGGCGCACGCTTAGAAAGTCATGTGTTTGGCGACATTCCAGCCCCGTTTCCTATTCAAAAGTAATTTTTTTATGCTGACAGTGCGGAAGTGCGTCACAGTTTTCTGTGCCGACGTGGTCAAGAGTTGCACACGCTAGGTGGCGACAGTTGCAGCCAGTTTTTGGAACTCTCTCAAACCGAAACTGAGACTGATTGATAATGAGGGGCCTGTAATTAATTATCTGTCACGTTTTGCAGCAAACTATGTGTCATGTCATGACTAATAGGCCCCCAGCCACGCATTGCAGCAGAAAAATGTGAGGCCAAGGTTTTCGCATCAGTACCCCTTTAAGATACTCAACAAGGAAATGAGCTGAATATAAAAAAATTCTTTATGGCTGAGCAAATGTCCACAAGACGCTCTCACTCACCTTTTTTTTCCAGGTGTTCCTATATTTTGAGGGAAGATATTCAGATATACAAATTTCCTTTAGTAAAGAAACAATAACTAGTAATATCAATGCATACCGTATTGTTGTTGGAACCAGCAGAAATGCTACATGCAGAAATTTTATTTCAACATGTTTTCGTCTTTGAAGAGCTTGTTTCGCAGCAATATCATGATAAGCCTTAGTTTTGGTATCGTTGGTTGTGAGTGAAAAATGTTGTCGGTGGTCAACAAAAGTGAGAAAGATGAAATAAAATAAATACTAAAAAATTTGGGTTCGAATTAGAATCGAACCTAGGCTTTCGGCGGGGCAGAGCTATGCTTTTGCTTGAAGCTGCTTAGGAAAAAAACTTCATCAGCAGCAGCAAAAGCAGAGAGAGCAACAGCGTCCCACGGATGGGCCCGTCTGTACTTATTAACAAAAAAAACAATTATGGCATACCTAACTGTACTTGCAATCTGAATAGTTTGGAAGGCCCACTGTTATGTTTCCTTATGGCAAGGCATGCACTGAAAACCAAAGCTAGGCTCAATTATGCCATCTCATTGTACCGCTGAAAATGAAGCTTAACCGTCGTCCCAAGTTTTTTTTTTTCATATGCACACATGTGCCACACCTTCAACCCACATTACGTGTGACTCTTCAGGTCGAGTTTTAGCATCCCCGCCGTGGTGGTCTAGTGGCTAAGGTACTCGGCTGCTGACCCGCAGGTCGCGGGTTCGATTCCCGGCTGCGGCGGCTGCATTTCCGTTGGAGGCGGAAATGTTGTAGGCCCGTGTACTCAGATTTGGGTGCACGTTAAAGAACCCCAGGTGGTCAAAATTTCCGGAGCCCTCCACTACGGCGTCTCTCATAATCATATGGTTTTTTTGGGACGTTAAACCCCACAAATCAATCAATCAATCATCGAGTTTTAGCATGCACTATCAGCACTTGGAGTGTGCGTCTTCACTGCAGTGTCCTCTTATCGTGTAGTTCATTTGTAAAACACGCCAATGCACACGTACCTAAAAGAAGTGATGTGTCAACATGTTCTGATGTTAACATTTTACTGCACATTTAGCTATTCAGTATGTGTCTGCTCTTTTCTTCCTGGGTGCACACGCATCACAACTTGACACAATTAAGGCAAACGCACTGTATAAACAGGGCCACTGCATTACATGTGACAAAGACCAAAAAAAAAATAAACTCAGCTATACTCATTAGTTGCATAGCATTCATTTAACCACCTTGCAAAATATCAAACTGCAATAGCACGTTTAGGTAATTTTCTACGATTAAGTTATAAGATGAAAATTTCACTCCAACTCATTTCAACTTCATTTTGCAAGGCCGACTACTCTATATTCTGTTGTTATTTTTATAATGCTTACTTTTTTGCCACTATTACTAGTTCAGCATGAAGCACATTTAGTATTTGCATGGAAGAAGATGATCAATATGCAAGTGTAAACTTTTAGGTCAGCTGAAATTAAGGCAGCTTTGTGCCAGAATCTAATTAAAAGTGCCAATTCCGCAGGAAGTACTAAAAGCAAAGGACGATACTTTACTTTTTCACACACAACAGCTTTTGAAAGCATCCATTTCACTAGCATACTTGTGGTCATGATGCCAAGGTAAACATCTGAACAAACACTGAGGAAATGCACAACAGTGCAAATTATTTCTTCAAAGTCATTGTCTCGGTGGTATTAAACTTGAACAACGTATGAAGGTTATCTCATTTATTTAATTAGAAAGGGCTCCATGTTGCCAAAATTACTAAACATGCACCAAGCACGGAATCTTGAAAAAGATGAATTTATTTGCAGCTTATCCGTGCAGCCAGACACTTGTGGTCAGGTTAGGTGAAGCGAGCGGAGTACTGTGTCTCTAAACCTGCGCTAAAACATTTATTCCTTCAGTTTGAGTGAATTCAAAGGAACGTCCCAGAAGAGAGAAAATGTGGCCGCAGTAGCAAAACCATCATGCTGCAGCAACCACCTTTCAGGTACACAGAGCCTGACCAACTTAATTATTTGCAATGCTCAGTTGAATGCTGCAAAAAGTAACCAATAAATATCCTAACCACTTGTGTCAAAAGTTCCAGAGTTTGCAACCATCGCGCAAAAACATTCGTTCATCATCCCAAAGCGACACGTGGTCCTAGCCGAAATGCAGGTTGCTTATCTTGCGCGACACTGTTTCCACGATGTCGGTGCCCCCGCATGCCCATTGGAGGTCGTCCAGTGACTTGGAGCGGACGATTCCTGCTGCCAACTTGGACGGACTGCCTGGGTTCGACTTGTTCGCGCCGAGACACGGAGCTTCTTTGGTCCTCAGCATTTCCACTAACCGTTGCCGCCACGGGTAGTCGTACGGCTGGTACTGTCGCCTGCGAAGGGCCCGAATACGCCGCAGGGTGAGCAGTGGCACCGTCTCCGAAGGGGGACTGGACGCCGCGGCCACGTACGATAAGTCTGCAATGTAGGCGGAATTCATGGCCAGCACACACAGCCCCGAAGGGTGCGGCCCGGAGTCGGCACCGCGCTTCTCGAGCAGGTAGTCCCGGCGGGAGTCCGTGACGGCACTCAGCATTCCCAGTTCGAGCAAAGACGCATCTAGGGCGTCCAACGGTCTACTCGCCGACGCTGTCTGCCGAGCTATCGGGCAGCAGCCAGGAGTTTCATGATGCAGATGAATGCTCGCCATTTTCTCGAAACAAACATCCTGAAAGAACACAATCAAACAGCAACCTCAAAGGGAGTTGTTAATATGTGTCTAGCTTAAATTTTGAACAAAGTGATTTGACAGCGGTGAGAAACGAAGCATGCTGAAAACTAATCGCGCAGGGCCGTTTGAACACGCGCAGCAACCGTACGCGGCTCCATTACATATATAAACATTACGCAACACACCCGCGGGCTCGATAAAGTGTAACGTACCAGCACAGGCGATCACGGCTCTGGAAGCCACGCATGAGACGCGGCATTCAACGAGCCCATAGAGTAATATATAAAAAGTTTTGTTTGTGTTACTTTATGACGAGCCTGCGGAATCGTTTAGTTAAAAAACAGACTCTAGAGGAAAAGCTAGGCCGGAAAACCTGTGTGCCGTTCACATGACCTACTACACTCCTGACCTGCCCAGAGAGCACCTCTTCCAGCGCCCACGTTCTAGTTCATACCTTCTGCCGCTAGGGCCGTCACCTACGAGCGGCGTGGCGCTAGGCAGCACCTGTTCGCTGACGTCACCTTCACTCTTTGTAGTCAAATTTTAACCAACAAAGCACTCGTAGTGCGAATTTATGATCCACAATTTAGAAATATCCAGAAATAATAATACTAAAAGACATTCAGAATTTTTTTTGCAATAAAATGCACGCGACAACGCATAGGCTGTCCAAAATCATGTAAATCCACGGGTTTCCACGTTTGTCAACCAGTGTGCTATAAATTCTTAAGCGCACTGAACAGCTTACTTGACCAGCAATGTATGGGAAGAAATAGTCACATATATGCCGACAGTTCACCACAGAAAGCAGGCATTCTTATACCAGCGCCTACAAAACAACCGTAAAGAAGCAGACGAACAGGTTATAGGTAGCGCCACCTACGGCGAGCGATTGAACGAGAGCGGGGACACGCGCTCCCATAGGAACCCCGCTATCTGAACAGGTCAGGAGTGTAGTAGGTCATGGCCGTTCACCAGCGCTTTTTAATGGTGGAGGGTGGCAACCACGACCTACTGTATTGTACTAACCTGCCCAGCAAGTGAAGCGCCAGCGCGCCCTTTCTGAAACTGGCGCCTGCCGCTATGTGCTTTGTGGCGCTACAACTTACCCCATCCGCACCGGTTACTGACGACCAAAACATAAGCCGCTGCGTTTTTTTTTTTTTTTTTTTTTTGTCGTTCGCTCGCACGACATTGGGAGAAAAGCAGCAATGTTTACGCGTGCATACACCTGGACGATTGAAAAAAAATGAATAAAAGCCTCTTTTTCAATAAACTTAAAAATATAATGACGATTTTTTTGCCATCGTCTCCTCGTGCCGAGCTGCGATAGAAGCGTGCAGGCAGGTGCAGTTTGTACACCAGGGAAGCGAGGTTTCTTGGTGCGAATGAACCATCACGATGGTGGTGTGCTGCGTGCCTTTATGCGAATCAAGGCAAGGCAAGACTTCTGATGTCACTTTTCATGAGTTTCCAGTGACCGAGGTTGGTGAAAAATGGAACAAGGTGATTTCTAGAAAGGGTAAGTCTGCTCAATTAGGGGTTGTCTGGCATGCTGAAAATATAATTGGTTGTAAATGACTACGTGTCTTTAAAAGAGTAAGTTGCGGGGCTGGTTGGTGGTGCATGACAGACTGAGACGCATATTAGCGCAAAAAAAATAAATAAACCAACAACCTCAAGAAAGTAAATGACGACGTGCTATACTCACAACTTTTTATTTGCCAAAAAAAAAGAAAAGCCATGTCACTACGTGTGGTTATGCAACTAGGTTTTCAAACACACCCATTGTGGGAAGAAGCAGCTTCTTCGAGATTGCTTTGGTAGTTTAATTACATTACCAAAAAGAGCAGAGATCGTTGCATAAGTGAATATATATATCCTCTGTCGCTTAGTTAGACCTCGAACTTGAATTTATGTGCTACTGCATCTGATATAAACGTGTTAGTTTACCCGTCTACGCGCATGCATGACAAAAGGACATATACGTGAAAACTTTTCCCCTAATGAAAAGTTGTGAGTAGCGTGTGTCCTTGTCATCTTTCTTGTGGTCATTCGTTTTATTTAGTGCTAATGTATCTCAGCCAGTTACGTGTGTCACATGGTTAACGAGGTGAAGTCATACGCTCACTTCATAACTGTGTTTTATTCACTTCGCCACCATGGTATAAACTTCTAATTGCATGATATACTCCTTAAAAAAGAACAAAAAGTTTTGTAATTTATCCAAAATAATTAACTGAGTGTTCATCTTCTTCCTGTCTGCCCCGCCGCGGTGGTCTAGTGGCTAAAGTACTCGGCTGCTGACCCGCAGGTCGCGGGTTCGATTCCAGGCTGCGGCGGCTGCATTTTCGATGGAGGCGGAAATGTTGTAGGCCCGTGTACTCAGATTTAGGTGCACGTTAAAGAACCCCAGGTGGTCAAAATTTCCGGAGCCCTCCACTACGGCGTCTGTCATAATCAAATGGTGGTTTTGGGATGTTCAACCCCACGAATCAATTTCTCCCTTTCAAGGTGCTGGCAATAAAGTTTGGCTCCCAAATGACAGGTCGAAGGTGTGCACTTTGCTCCTACCGACTATAAGCCGGGACTAAAGATAAAAAGACTGAAAGCGGATGCTGTGCCATCAGTGTTTTCACACTACCCAAAGTACATGGTGCCGCCCGTGGCAAAAGTCCGACGCACCTTGAAATGTTCAAATGTTCAGGAACATGGACCCTGCCCAAAGAAAAAAAAGTGACTAACAATGTTTAATGCTCGGCGTCTCCCCACGGCTCTTGCATACAAATTGGACCAATGAAAACGAATTTCAAGGAAAGGCGTATAACAGAACGCAATTTTTCAATGCAGGAAGAAAACAAGTTCAGCCCCGGCGCAGCAGAGCATGACATCGAGCGACATGTCATCAGTACCATCCGCAAACACAACTGCGGGAACATCCTCAGACTTTATGCACCCTTTAAACCACCTGAAACTGCACCTGGCGACAAAGTAAAAAAAAAAGACTGGCGCTCCTTGACCACGCAAACAACTATAACCAGCCAGAAGATGCGCCGTGTGATGACTTCTGCAAAATCATCGCGCCGGAAATGCCACACCATGGCAAGAAATAATGCTGAATTAAAAGCGCAAATAGCCAAGCTGAACCGTGAAGTTGCAGAGGTTAATCTTTTCTCCAAAAAAGCAAACGCTGCAGTCTTGCAGGTAAAGTTGTTTGCTGTTGGTGCTGTTTCGTTTCAAAACAGTTTCAGAGTGTTTTTTAATGATTATTCATGTACCTGCGATCTACATTTGCTATTTTATACGAAGGTATTTATGCGCAAAATTGTCTGTATTGGGTTGTTTTCTATGCGCGCCGGATGCCGCGGCCACTGTCAAATGTCATATAGTCCTTGCTCTTTCTTGTCCTGACAGTAAATTCAATCCAGCTGAGTGTGCGCCAAGTCTACCAATGTATACACGTACAGCCAGTATCATGAGTTAAATAAACATTTGGTGGGCCAGAACTTTTTACAACCTGTCTCTGTCATCATTATTTGTTGTTTTTCACACCGATACATGTGTTTGTGTCTGATTTGCGGTCCTGTTTGAAAAATATTGCACTGATATGTCAACTAAAATGCAAAAGAAGATTCTCAAAGTCACATGAAATAAAAAGATTCAAGATACCCGCCATATTTACTCAATGCATGATGAAATTCTTCTCGAACCGGCGGTAACCCACGCATTTCCATGCATCCACCAGCGCTACGCTGGGGTAACTCGAGCACCCCCTAGGCGGCGAAGTTCGGCATCCGAGCCGGCGCATCAATGGATGGATGTATATGGCTGTACCAACGCCTCCTCTAGAAGATGCCTGCCGCATGAGAAGAAAAACGGCTGCTACACCCTTTCTCTCCTTTATTTTAAAATGTTTTTGGTCGCTAGCGTCACCTGTGGCGGACGGTGCAACAACGCAACACTTTGCATAGCCTCCGAAACAGCGGTGTACAATTGCAGGTCTCAAACAACTCTCGACTGACGCGCCCCTATGGGCCGCAGATGAAAAACGCTTAGCTGGTAGCTGGTACCGTCCGCTGCCATAATAATAGTTTCGGTCGCGAGCGCCACCGCGCGGCGCTTGCTCAAAACTGAAGACACAAACCATAGCCTCCTATATTTTTTCGTGCCCGCGCATTAGCGCTAAATACATACGCGCCATCCGTCCCTTATAGTTTTGGCGCTCGCCGCCAGATGCCGCACCGATCCCATAATAACAGCAGACGACGCGGCCTATGCACGCTTGCGTTTATGACGGTCTAGAAACCGTCTACATTGCATTGGATTATGCGTATACGTTAAGAAGTGCGCACACACCAAATTTTTAACACAAGCACTGTATTCAGAATGCAATGTGAGCTTTGTTATTTGATTTCGCGCTCAAAGCTTGAGCACTTTTCGAGACAATGGTTTGACATGAAAATCTTTTGCCAAGTCGTGTTTGTCAGTCACACTCGTCGCGAAGTTCAGAAAAAGTGGGCGGAGAAACTTCACGAGCACAACCTCCAAAAGTTTTTTATGATGTCCCGGGGTCGAGCACTTGAGTTTGTCACGTTTCTGTAGTATTTGCGCGGCGTTGTCAACGGCAGCCTTCAGTGGCTGATTCATCTTTCTCGCTCTTGCGAGGAAAACTTCCGCGTAATTCTTTAGAGAATTTAGAACCATTACGAGCTCAGTTGACGGATACAGGAGTCCACCTCTGTCCTGGTGCCTAATTAATGCATCCGATGGCGCAGAGGTGTTTGGTTTAGTCACCAAAGTGAAGCATTCATCACAGGAAATGGTTTCGTGGACTGTTCTTGCAATATAGCCACCAACCATTGCTAGTGCAGCAACATCTGGCGTTGGGAGCAACGTCTTCCCCCTGTCGAGGCTCTCCTCGAGGATCGTGGTTGATTCTGCTGGAAATGCTTCACCGTCATTCTGCGCTGCTCTTGCCGATCGCTGTAGGAGTGCTGATCTGGAGCAGCTGCTGCTGTCTGCAGTAGACTCGTGCCCAAACGTACACCTGGGTGGATATCTCCACATTCAATCAGAACATGCTCCGCCGTTTCCTTATCTTTCCCGCAGCATGTGCATTGTTCTTCTTCTTTACTGAATCTTGCTTTATAACTACGCGTTCTAAGGCAACCCGATCTCGCTTCAAACAGTAAAGCGCTTCCCCTTGAATTATCGTAAAATGCCTCCCTCCTTATTTCATTTTTGCCCTTTCGGTAGTTACTCAAAGCCGGTTTTTTCTCCATAGCTGCCATCCATTCTCTCGTTTTGCGCCTCGGCGCTCCGCCAGGAGCGCTCGCATCCCATAATAGCTCGGGGGACGGCGCTGAGGGACCGACCGCTCGGGCACAAAGCTATAGAGGAGGC